TCTGGTTGAATAGAAAGTGTTGAAATGTCGTTTAGAAACAATTTCGTATTAATGTATGATTAAGTACCCAATTGTTATTAATTTTTTATATTTGGGTCATATATCCTAGGACATTATATTAAGTTAAATGTTGACATTAGATACACGCTAATTGCATTTGGTTTTCAGCATTTATATGAATTAATACATTCAATGCTCCTTTTTTTTATACACTTAGTTATAATATGATCAAGATTGTAAATAAAGTAAATTGATAAAAAAAAAGTAACATAGTTACTTTGAGAAAAATATTATCCTAATTTTTTGTATGTATTATCATCGAATCTTTTATTAATGATCTGACGTAAGCAATACTATTGTTGTCCTAATGTAGGAGCGCCCGTATTTCATAAAAAAATTTTCGAGTTACTGCCTTATTCGTTGCGTATTTCGGTATGTTTATGACTATGAATCTATAATCACTCAATCATAAAACAACAAAAATCGCTCAGAACTTTTATAAATAATATTATATCAATATTATTCAAAATAATGTATGCGTGGGTAATATTATTACCCATATTATATAATATTATATATAATATTATTTATGTAACCATCGAATCACTAGGTTACCATCCGTTGTTATTTTATTTTGTGTTTTATCTATGATTTCGATTAAAAATTTCGTCCACATTTTATTTTAATAATCTATAATGTTTGTGTATATTGTGTAAACAATTAGTAATCGCATCGAAGGTTTTCTAATATACTCTAGGTACGTAATCAAATAAGTAATAACTAACAATTTACTGTAGTAATGTAGTAACAACTAAGAACTAACAAATAATATGTATTTCTTATTAATTGTAAAACCCAATAGGCTTTATTTAAAAATTTTTTTTAGAGCGGTTTTCTTGATAACTAATTTTACTAATTTAATATTTCTCATCATTAGATATTATTTAATATTTTGTTCAAAACATTTCCATTATTTTGATCGATTGACCTCCCGATTATGACAGTATCTCGTATCTCGAATATTATTAATATTAATAATAATATTAATAATATTAATATATTATTATATATATTATTATAATAATATTAATATTTTAATTGAACATTTTGAATGATTATTTCGAGACAGTGGCGTAGCTAGGATTTTCTGAAGGGGGGTGTTAAATTATTAATTATTATTAATTTTTATTAAATATTATATATAATACGTACGAACTAAAACTTTTATTTTAATTAATTAATACGTATACATAATGTTTGTAATATAGATGTAATGTATATTCGAATTCGGATAGCTTTACCATAAATTATTCGAATATCTGTGTTCGATGCTACAATACCTATTATTATTAAACGTTTTGTGTTGCACGAAAACGTAAACGAATAATTTTCGTCACGTATTGTCGCAATCGCAATAATGTTAACCTGTATATATGTAATTAGTATTGTGTATTATTTTATATTTCATATTGTATTATCGATTTACCTATATTCCTATAATAATGTAATATATGATACGACTCAAAGGGGGTGTCATATCTACCAAACACCTCCCTTGTATACGCCACTGTTTCGAGATATTTCTTGATTATATAAATTACTCGATTACTAATATTTGGATTACTGAAATCATTCGATTATGCCTTTCACTAATTAAAACTAACAACCAAAATTAAGTATTTTGTAGTAACGAGAGTACGAGACCCACTGCTCGTTAATGACCGCAGACAATATAAATAAATACCTGGTAGGTATTATTATATGTAAATATATACTGGTCGACAACCAACAATATTGTTATGGCATTATTAACATTATGGTGATTATTTTATCAAAATATAAGGAAATTTCCTAACGTGAAGAGGAGCTATTCTATGTTCGAATCATAATTCAAATCAAAATATTGCTATATAATATTTTCCTAAATTTCTGACGGAACCCTTAGGTTCCGCGGAACACCAGTTGGGAAACACTGCTTTAGAGGCTAGAAGTAATTGTTTCCTACCATAACGAGGAGTAGGTAAGGGTGGTCTAAACCTAGGTGGTTTGACTGAAGACCACGAACGACTTCGTTTATCTTTAGACCGCTGATGAGTGGCTACTTTGGATAAAATCGTTAACCACAGAATTCCACGCTCTTCAAATACTAGGTGGAACTTAAAAAGCTGTATAATTATCACTATTTATGTAAATCTTGAATCAATTGCAGAATGTTTCGAAGAGATTGAAAATACTTTCAACCAAAACATTGCAATTAATCAAGCAGGAGCATTACGTCGATTGCTAAATAATAATACATTTATATTTTGGTTGAATATATTTCATCGTTTAATGCCACACGTTGACATTTTATACAATCAATTACAAAAACGAACTGTTGACCCAATTCAAGTTGATGGCGCAATAAATACATTTAACGAAAATATTCAAAATTAAAGAAATAATTTAAATGATGATTTTTCAAATGAAGTGTCTGATGAAGTTTTAACGTCCAAAAGGAAAAGATCAAACGACACAAATGTTTCAAGGAATGCAGCTTCAAAGGAATTATGTGTTGTTTTTATTAATAGCTTTCAGGACCGGTTTGAGTACAAAGATCATTTCTTTGCTTCTTATTTATTTATATTCTTGAATTTTCCTTCATACGAAAAACATTTCCCACAACAATATTTCAACAAAACAATTGAAGCTTATCCTATGTTTGATAATAATAAACATGAAACTGAATTAAAATTAATACCTACATAGGCGAATCGATTTTCGTGACATGTCAGGGATAGTAAATTTATTATTGACAACAATTTGCAGTCAGTGTTTTCAGAATCATACAAACTTATATTAATAATTGCAACAATTCCAATGACATCAGCAGAAGCAGAGAGGTCATTCTCAACTCTAAAAATAATTAAAACATTTCTTAGAAGTACAATGGTAGAAGAAAGACTAAATCCATTAGCTATGTTGTCTATTGAAAAAAGTATGATAAATGAATTGTCTAATTTTAACGAAGAAGTTATTAAAGTGTTTACACAAAAAAAAAGACATATGTATAGATTTAGTTTTTAAACATGTAACTGATTAATTTTATATAATATTAATTTTACTTTGTTAGTAATTTTACAGCTTTAAAAATAAATTATAATTACTTAGATATTGTGTTTATATTTATACACGATAAGTTAATAATAACTAATTAGTTATTTTTTCTAATTTATTTATATTTTAATGTGGTAAAAAGCTTAAAAAAATTAATTTAGATAGGTTAATAGGTACATTATTTTGGTATGCACCTATAACAATAATATTTTTACCATCTTACATAAGTGAATACATTTTTTGTGAACCACCTTAGGTGAATCCCACGAGCTGCCACTGGACTTGATGATTCTTCAGAAAGTTCGGATAAGAATATTTTAGGCAATCATCAATGTTGTAAAACGTTTTCTTACTACCCAACTTAACAGCTGATTTATTGATGACCGTCAGATGATTAGCAATTAATACAAATAAACTTGTTAACAATGATGAAAAATTGAATGTTACATAATACAGTATAACTAATTATTTTCAAGAATTTCATTAATTTTTTTTAAAAATTAGTAGCATTGATTAAATGTATGTATTTAATCAATGTTTGTAGCAATTATATAAATTATCTTATTATTTTACCTATTTTTTTTTTATAAATATTCATATTAAATCATATTTGTATATGAAAAAATATTTAAAAAAGTACTTCCATAATATCTTAATTAACTTTATTATTACTTCAATATTATTCAGCATTATTACTTACCTAACCAAATGTTGTTAATTTTTTCATGATATTGTTTTTATGTTTTTAATCAACAGTTACTTGATGCATTTTTGAAAAATATTATTTTTAATAAAATATGTGATAAACTAGAAAAAAAAAATATATTTACCCCATACTCGTTATCCATTGAATAATTGATACTTAGAAAAAAGACATCAGAAAATTTAGAAATCATAGTAAGTACATTCCAGTCATATAAAAAAATTGTTTAAATATACTATTAAAATCTAGAAAATAAAAGGATGAAAAACAAAAAAACAAAAATTGAGAAAAAAAAAATATAATAAATCTAGTATTATCACATGCATAGTAACTTGGTAACATAATACAAACATAAACTTGTCTATAACACACATTATAAGTGTCTATTCAATCAAATTTATATTTTAATGGAAACTTAAAATAATCATTGTAATGTACATTTTCATTTTTCAATTAATTTAAATAATATATATTCTTTTACAAAATCATTGTCACGTTAATTATTTCTTAGTTGTAATTTTTATGGACAGTATTAAAATCTTAGTTTATAAATAAAAGCTTTTAGGAATAAAATATTTCCTAAAAAAATGTAATAAAATAACCATAAAATTATTTATGTGCAATAAAAAAAAAAAAAATATTAAAATATTAACGTTTACATGAATTAATTGTGAGTTATATCATTAGTTATGTACATACAATGATATAATCATATACAAAAAGTGTTTACAAGAAATCACACTTTTAGAATATTTTAACAATTTAAAATTGCTAACAACTACAATATGATTGCTCTGGTGCTGAATTTTCATTATTACATCGAACAACATTGACATCTTCAGGTTTCTCCCATAAGCTTGGAGTATTTATTATCTGTTTGCAATATAATTACAATCGATTAAAAATATAAATATTTTCTTTTGAGAATGTTCAATCAAGATTTGTCATCCATATCCCATTAGCAATTAGTAAGACACAAAGCATAATATATTAGTATAGAGATGGATTTTAGTAATACAATTGGTAGATGATCAAGCCAGTGTTTATTTCAGCAGATGACCAGAGGGTATTACTCATCCAAAGAATAATGTATACTCCAAAAAAAAAAAAAAAATGTATTTATGTAATAATTATTAACTCCTTTGTATTCTACATATTACATACTTCCCTGACATAGAAGGTCTAAAATAAACACTGGATCAAGCCATAGTTATAGAAAAATAAAAAAAAATAAAGCAGCATTTCAAAAGGAACCTTAATTTTTTTTTAAATAAATGTGGACAGTTAAAAGCTATATAATAAATAATAATACAGCTTCCAATAAATGTCTTAAAAAATGAATGATCTATTAAAACGTTTTTATTTAATTTCATAAAATGATTTTCTTACATTTAAATATGAAACATGTATTTATAATATAACTATGGTTTTTAGTTCTTAAGCCATATATTTTGGTAATAATAAATATAAAGTATAAATATTTAGTTGATACAATTAATCAATATCAAATGTTTTAAATAATGAGGTGAGGTTTAAACGGGCTATTTTGTGCTTATACCATGGCTGTAGATAGTAATTTTTTGTCATATTTACTTCTTAAATGCATTTTTGTTATTTCTGCTACTTTTAAGGACATTATTTTTATATTTCTAAAAAATGCAGCATTTTTGGAAAAAATTAAAATAATTTCAAATATTCAATATTTTTCTTTAATCAACTTATTGACAACTACACTTTATCGTCTAATATTATCGTTATAGTCATTAAATTATGGTATAATAGTCAATGAAGATAACAATAATACGGACTACGTGTGTGGAAAGCATTGATCAAATAAAATGAAAAATTTTTAATACATTTTTAATACATTTTTTTACATCATTAATAAAATTGTTAAGGTCATAATCGTATTTTATAGTATTGTTTAGGGCATTAAAATCTGGGTTCTAATAATAACTGATTTGCATGTAAGAGATTTTATTAAATTTTTTTAGTAAGAGATAAGGTAAACAAAAATTGATGCCATATTCTCTAAAATCAATTAACTTACTTTTCTCACTAATTCTTCAAAAGCCATATGAACACCTTCTTTAGTTTTAGCACTAGTTTCAATAAATAATGTTTGATGACGACGAGCAAAAGCAATACCTTCTTCTCGGCTAACTCGCCTTTCCTAAGATAAAAATAATAATATTGTAATTTTATTTTGTTATTAATTGAGATATTCAAAAAAACTAAATCATAATGTTTTAGATTTCAAAATAAAATTTCTGTGTATATAATTATTTTTAAATGAAAAAGTGAAAACTTAAATCTCTTGTAGGTGCATAAATAATTTAAGCATTTAAGTTTAATAACTATTAAGTTTATTCATAGCAATATAAATCCTAACCTGATCAATTTTATTTCCAACAACCATTTTAATGATATTAGGTTTAGTAGAATACATATTAAGTTCATTAATCCATGTTTCTAGACATGTAAAAGAATCACGGTTTGATACATCATAAACAAGTACAGCACCTTGACCATCACGGTAATAATTTGGAGTTAAGGTACGGAATCTTTCTTGTCCAGCAGTATCCTAAAATAAATATTTTATGTAAATAACTTACTTAAAAGTTAGAAAATATTTTTATTACTTACCCATAATGCTAACTTAATGTTATTGTTATCCACTGTTATTTTTCTCATTTTAAAATCAACACCAATAGTAACTGCATTATCAACATTGAAAGTATCATCTGTAAATCTGTATAATAGACTGAAAACATATAGACATTACATTAATTTAGATAATATTTGCGACATATTATAATAATGTACATAATTTGTATAAATATATTTATATTTAGTTGGAAAAAATGTTCAAGGATCTAAAAATCACACAAGAAGACAAAGTCCTGAAAAGTTTAATAGTTTATTTATTCGTCATATATTTGTTTAAAAACAATATTTGTAATTGTTGCAAAAAGTAAGTATGATTGTTAATATAATAATTGCTTTTAATTTAAAATTCATATCAAATAACATTTATCGATTTGATAAATATGAAGAAGGATTTAGTAAATGAACATTATCTTGAAGTATTTGTAACTTATGTAATTCACTATATATTTATAAAATTAAATAGGTAAAGTTTTGTTTCGAATTATGATAGTTAACTGAAGTTTAACTTTCAAAAATTCTTAAGGTTTACGAATGATTATCGAACGTGACATACCATGATTTCCCTACTCCACTTTGTCCTATTAATAAAATTTTCAACGTTGTTAAAACTGATGGATCCATTAAAACTGTTTTTGACGATTATCTTGTAGCCTGAAAATCATAACAAATCGATAAATATAAGTATTCGTCGATCGAACCGTACTATTAGCATTTCGTATGACAAATGAATATCACCAGGGACTAAAATTGTGTGTAGTACGGAATTAAAAAGCGTGTTGTGGTTTATAATCCTCTATATTATGGTATTTGTTTTTAATTTTACATTTTTCGATTAAATTATCTTCAATGTTTTTAAAATTTCGATATGTATTATCGGCAAAATTTAAAATACCAACCATTTTAACCGTGTTACTAATTACCGTTAACGTTTGAACGGGGAGAGTATGACAAAATGCTTAAGTTTGCAGCACGAAAAACGATTTTCCCTCTGAATATCACTACACGAAGTTCATACGGTCGGTTCCAACGGCAGCCAACAAAACGTAAACAAACGCTGTAGGCGTTCGAGTGATACGATATCGCGCGTAAGAAAATGTGTGAATTTTTCAATTGTCGTACGCAATGATCGGCACGGAAGTGTTGTGAATAAATATGGGGTGGTGGTGTCTCGTCGAGGTCAGGCTCTTACGATGAAATATTTGCGGTAACCATACGGCGCCGGACAACGGTCCGTGATCGTCGGGCTCGTACAAAACAACGACACGACTGTTAATCGATGATCCGCATGTCGACGGGCAGGACGATCGTTACATCCCGAGTATAAACGAGCACGGCGCACTACGGCGTTGGTTGCGCGACAAAGCAGACGGAACGGGACGCGAAACGCAATACAGTACACGACGACGACGGTAAAAACAAGCCTTGGTCGTGATAACAACACCGACGAAGTGAACACACCGAAATTGATACTGCGTAGCATAGATTGGTATATGTGTGTATATTTTTTTTTATAGGCTCGGCCGTAGGTTAGCCATGGCTGATGTCGCGCAGCTGCCGCCGTCCCGCGTGCCCCTCCCGCCACACCGACGGTTCGCTGTGATTTCCGCAAGTGCGAATCGGCTACGTCGCGTACCGTTATCGCGATAAGGCGCAAGGTCGCGTTGCGCCGTTACCGAGTTACGACCACACGATTACCATCGTAAACAAATAACAACAATCGTTATTATTATTATTGTTGCCTCGGTCCCCGACGTTCGGCCTCTAAGGGCCGTCGCAAGGATTTCAGGGGTTCAATTCCCTGCAACCCCGCCCTGAGATATCGGAATGCAATAACCGATTTAACGGTTATTTCAAAGTTTTTCACGAGATTTGCTCGAGTAAAACATATAAATACGTGTATTACACGGGGTTTCCAGATTTTGAAATCATATCGAATGACTTTTTTTTCCCCTGATGTTACGTTCATATAGAAACAAGAACGAGTGTATCATTTTGTAATTTAAATATTTATTAGCTAATACATTACAGTTGTATACAACCATGCCGATAAGATATCCTTAATATAATGATATAATGCGCAATATTATTCTACGTTTTATTGTTATACAATACAATATTAAATGTTATTTTCTCTCCGCTTCAATTAACCGGGACAAACAGAATGTGCGACCGGGACGAATAGCAAGTCTAATATTATACAATGCGTAATAAAGCATGCTATTTATAAACATTTTACATTCTACATATTTTCAACTATCTCCCCCTCCCGAACATTTTTCTGCGTTCGTCAATGGTTTCTCTCACGCCTTGTTGATCGGCTAACACGATTAGCGTTGGACTCGCGTTTTTCTGACATTCATTTTTTCACTTATGCCTGAATTAAGGTGCGGTTGATAGGGGTAATGGGTTAGAATTTACGAATTGTATAACCTGAACAATAAAATGTACAGAATTAATACAGAAAACGTTAATTATTTCCAAATACTTTCTGGGTTATTCCCAATCTTGCCGGTGAGTCACTGCTTCCACTGTTGAGGAAGTTATGTTATTCATTTACGTTGTCTCATCCTTATTACATCCTTATTTTAAGTACTCATTCGTTCGACCACTACTGCACAGTTCTATCGTCACTATCTTATCTTATTTCTCGTCCGAAATAATCGATCAACGAACATCTCTGATGATCTCGTTCGATATTATTTTTTTGCTTGATTGCTAGTTTCAAGTCAAAGTTGAACGAATTTTAATTAAAAACTGGTTACCGTTTTAAAATTACGTTTTCCTAGTTACTGTTTTAAAATTTAATATTTGGGAGTATTTTCTCGGGCCCCTTCTTTATTTAACTACGCGTTAATTGAATTTTTATTTTCACTCCGATTTTATTAAACGATTACAAATAAAAATAAAGATTGTTTGCGCTAAAAATTAAAGGCCTTTGTAATGATTCACCGCTGATGCGGTTTATTTGTAATGAAATCAGAATTTTCATGAGCCCCCTACTGTAATCAAAAATGAAATTTTCATTTAAATTTAACGTTTTCAATATGAATATTGTAATAATACGAGTAATACGTAGTAATAATAAATCGTACACCTAGGATTGTTTTTGGACTCCTGTTTTGGGTATCAAGTGTCTGAAATGGAGACAAATTAGAGGAAAGCTGACTCCAATAGTCCTATGGACAGTTTGTAGTAACAATAAAGGTTTTAAAAAAATGTGTTCACTTCCTTCTTTTTTCGGTTTTTAAAGGCCATTGAGGCCCATTATCGCAATAAAAACTTGCTTCCACTTTTCTTTAACCTGTGCTACCATTTATCCATCTCGAATTTCAATTTCTGTTATATTCTTTTTTACTTTTTTTCGTACTTCGTCTAACCACCTTTGTTTTGCCCTGCCTGATAGTTCTTTCCCATGGGGTTTCAATTTTAGTTCCGCTTCATTAGACTTCCAAACGTGGACAGCCTATTATTCTATATTGTAATATTTTTACTATGTCTGGTCCTTAATATAACTGTTATAATTCTTTATTGCTTCTTATTTCATATTGTTTTATTATATTTTTTATTTTTGTCCCATATATTTTTTTTTTGAAGGTTGTTGTTTTATCTCCTTTGGTTGTTGGCCGTGTTTCGCGTGCATACAAAATAACTGGTCTGATAACTACCTTGTATAGTGTAATTTTCGATTTGATGCCCGTTTTGATTTGAAAGATACTTACACATTATATATTACATTGTGTATTAATCCGCAATAGCATTTATTCGCGATAGTTTTTCTTATTTTAATTTCTTCATGATTATTATTTTTGCTATTTATTGTAATACCCAAATATTTAAAACTGTGTATTTTTTCAAATTTAATATTCTCAATTTCTAAATGTTTCCCATGATTAGGGTTCGGTTAGGTTAATGAATATTCTTACTTATATTAATTTTGTACTAATGTTTTTGGTGGATCATTATTGTTTTGATACAAAAACGTTACTGTAGAGAAGTTTTTTTATGAGTTTGTTGAGGAATTTTAATTTATCATTTTGAGCTGAGTACACGTCAAACATGTAAAACGTTTTGCAACGTTGGCAGGGAAATACTTCTAAAAAAAGTTGGTTAAAATTAGGAAAAAAATTGTTTAAAATCATGAAAACACTAATTTTTTTTAAGTTTTAGATGTACAACGAGATAAAAAGAATATTTTAATATTGTTCTGATAGTTCTAAATAGTGTGTTACAACTTCAATATTGCTTGTTTTTACATTTCGTTGTTTCATTTATGGTATACAACGTAATATTTAGTATTTGATAATGATTTAACATTATGTTAAATAACATTATGTTTTGGGTAGTAGATGGGTAGATATGTTATGTTTACGATAAGATGATGTATATGATAGAAAAGTTGGTTAAATATAGTATGGTTTTTTCCAATTTTAATTTAACATGTCATTTATTTTTGTTTTGTAAAATATTTACACGATTTTATAAATTAATTAATATTATTATTGTATTTTTAGGTGTCAGGTTCTGGCGAGCAAAAATATTTGTTTTAATGCATAATATATACATTAAATATTAGATATGTAAAGAGCAATTTTCTTCCAATTCACACAATTTGGTTATACTTAAATACTGTGATGATATGTGACCTAAAAATATGACACATTCTTAACAGGTACAGTTCAAACAGATATTTCAGTTTAACGAGAATAGTGATGCAAATATTTTCTAAAGTTCTCTTTTACCCTTAAGATTAATGTGTAATATTGATGACCAGAAGAAAAATTGTATGGCAGAACCTATTTCCTTCATCTATAAGATATGATAGATGAATACGCATTCGTTTTTTATATGAAAAAAAAGATATGTTATAACAAATTAAGAAATTCAGTTTATATAAAACATTAAGTCGTTTAAAGAAAACCGATATCAACTACTAGTAGGGGTTTACTTCATATTAAACATATATTACTAACTACTATATACTAACTATCTTTCATGGTTGATGCAAAAGTTTGCGCAATGTTGTAACAAGTATATTTTCCACTATTAAGTTTTACATATGTGGAGAAATTTTAAAATCTTTTTAATGATTTAAAAAGTAAAAATGAAATAAATAATGATTCTTTCAAATTTGGGTTATCAATTCTTCATAAGAGAATTAGATTATTTGAACATATTTTTTCATTTCACGTACAAACTAATTTGTAACATGAACGATGGAAATACATTAAGATTTTTTTATCGATCCAGATACATATTCACGTATTACTAAAATAGATATAAACCTTATTCAACAATTTTAAATTATATTAGAAGTAGTACCTAGTGATCATAGGATAAACGTGGAAAAACATGATGACTATACCACAGTTACATCAAAACTTTATGTGGCATTATATGGTTGACATCCAATTTTACCCACATCATACAACATTTTAATCCAATGCGATACAGTTACATGAAATACCTAACCTATAGGTAAATTATCTAAGGAAGCTGATGATACAAGAAATAAATACTTTAAATTGTATATACCAAACTTTTCAATACAATTTTCTCGAGAGTTTTGTAATAATGATGTTTTAAAAATACTTTTGTTAAGTTCAGATCCATTTTTGAGTAGTAGGTATCAGACTAATAAAATGAAAATTTTGACAAATGTGCGATTTGTCAGAAAAATAACCAATGTTTATTTGTAATAATGTCTTAACAATTTTAAATAATAACCTAATCTTGTTTTTATACTAATTTCAACTCCATATACCCAAATAATATTTTTGATTAGCATTTTAGTCATTGATACAGTTGTTATTAGTTTATTATTTTAATAATCAAATAAAATAAAAGTGTGAGCTGCGTTCAGAAATATGTATAAAAATTTGCAGTAGCCAAATATCTTAATGTGACTGATGATCGCTCTTTTACTGGTATTTTATTTCTGTTATGTGTATACTGTTTAAACATTTTATGACCAATTAAATTAATTCAAAGTCTTCTGAAGACATACGACAAAAGTTTTAAAAATGGTCCATGTTCTGAAGAGTAAAATCAGTTGGTAATTGAGTCCATAATAAATCATTCTACTTTGTAAAACAGGAATCTCCCATAATTAGCATCGTTTATGGTTTTTAATTTTTTTTTTTTTTTTAAGTAGACATTTATTGTGTATAAAAATAAACGCAGCAATAAATTAATTTGTAATTGAGGTATTTATATTTTATTTTTATATTATATATATTCTATTATTTATTATATTTTTATTATATATTGAGGTAATGTGATTGAACTTATTACAAGTGATATGTAATACAAAATGAGGAAAAACAAAATATATTTAAATATAAAGCATACATTTTTTCGCGCTGTATGAACGTTTGTGTTTGCGAGAATATTACAGTTACATTACAGCAAAGTATTCGCGTTTGGTGTAAGCCCAGTTTTATAGAAACACAATATATTAATTGTCGACTATTTATAAACATTTAAAATATTATTACAATTATTGTTTACTTTTCAAAGTACCTGGTTATTTTTATTATTATTTTGTATTAAGCATATGCAAGAGTTTTCACTATTATTATTCGAC